ATGCCAATTGCTACCCAAACACTTGTCAGGTATAATTCATTCTATCGCCGGTTATTATTACACAGCCTGATGTATTAGATACTAGTGTGATTTATATTAATACATCCCTACAACACTAGTATAGGAAATATTATCATATACTGTGGTACTCATAAAATGTGCAAAGTTTATGTTGTTCTTGCAAACAAATAATTTCCATTCATTCATACATACCAGTATATGATTTTAAAAGTGTGTAGATACCAATAATCGTTAGAAATGGCCTTTATAATTCCACATCATGACTATTGCTATTGCACAGAATGTCATACGATGTGGGGATCCAGTAGACTGGGACACATAGAAGCAAAAGTCATCTGGTGTGAGAGTAGCAGACAGTCCCTATGACCTAGTGCTAGCTCTGACCACAAACCAGGGAGTGCACACTTGTGTGTCTGTTGAGGAGCACACCTTGCCTCACCTGACATTTGGAAAGACAAAGGATGAACATAATTTATAAAGATAATCTGGAGCAGAATTTTTCATACTTGAGTCATGACTCACAAGATTCTTACTTTTCATTCAATGTAAATATGCATAAACGATCATTATGCATTACTTTAAAAAAATACATGTAAACAGCTTTTCAAAGTCTCTCTTAAAACAAATTAGGGTAAATCTCATGTTGTTTGAGTTTACACCTTTTAACTAGCCTTAGGAAGCTGTGATTTACATTGCTGTGTAAATCACATCTGCTCATAAGCTGTTGTTTGAAAACATTGCACATCTGTGGTATCAAGTGTGTGCAAATTAGAGAATTATATGACATTACCAGCTTCTATTATGTGACATTTTTATTATATGACGTTACCATGCAAATGTAAGCTTCATTTTTTGTGCAATATTTGAAGTCATATTATTATATAGCATAAACTATAATCATCTACTCTCTACTTAGGTAGTGATCCAAGCAGGGATTTGCAATCCCTTTGCAATCATTTTCACAGAGCCATATAGTCAGGTACCCCAGTCAGGAACGTAAGTTACAAACTGTTATGTGCCCTGAAGCATGCTTAAGGCCATTCTTTATAGGTGGCCTGGTCACCACACTCATTACTTTGAGTAAATAAAAAGTGGGGGGTTGTATTTTGGAGTTGTGTTTGTTGATGAAAGAGGTTGGTTTTTTTTTTGCAGCAATCTGCAAAACCAGAAGTTTTTCAGCTTTACTTTCATCATGTATCTGTGGCTTCCTTTTGAAGTTGGTACCAGATTGACCAGAGCCAGCATCTTACAGTCCAAGATCTAGAAGCAGGGAGGTGGTATAGTCAATCACTCATGTGGTCTCTTCCAACATTACAATGGGGATTCTTCCCTATGAAAGGTTTGCTGTATTTTGATTCAGCTGAGTGTCTCACGAGAGTATCACTAAGATTTTCCTTCTTACATTTCATAGTCTTTCTCTTATTTTCACCTCTTTGTATACAAGTTCCTTTAAAATCTATTAAGAAAAAGTTCTGCTTTAAATTACCAGTTTTTTTCCAGTCTTGACTATATTTTCCTTTAGACAAATACTTCTACAAAGCTTTCATCAGAAGACCAACCATTATTTATAATCACCATTAATGAACCCTGACAAAACAATTATGCAGAAGCTATTACCATCTTTACTTTTTATAATAAATTGCAGATAAATTAACACATGACTCCATCAAGGTTGTGCAGTGAATTAATGGTAGCAGCTGGAAGTGTAGCCTAGAAACTTTGACACCCACACTCCTGCTGAAATTATATGCCCTGAAAACACCGGCACTGTCTCAGACCCACTCTGCACTACCAACATTCCTCTCATATGACTGAAGTGTTTTTAGGCTATGAAAATTAAAGAAAAGGAAAAATAATGTAAATCAATGTCTGATTCTACATTGCTTCCCCCTCTGAGGCTAAAAAGATTTTTTTTTCTTGTTTTGATTTTTCCTTACAGTAGATATTGGCAGGCTGAAAGTTGAAATAAAATAGGAAAAAATAACAAGAATATTTTGAGTGATTACTCAACTGGGGTCCTTTGTGACAGGAAATGCAGCTGCGTGACTAATGGGCCTGACTTTCTCTTGGCTTCCTTCCCCCTTCAAAGATCTTGTTTACTGCCCCAGCCAATATTTTTTTTTTTTAAATTGCTAGAAGCTAGCAATTTTCCAGGAAAAAAAAAAAAATCTTTGCAAGAAGCAAAGGCAGTAAATCTTACAAAGATCAAGGGCTGCAGAGCTCCCCCCCATCTATTCCTTTTAGCCTTCCAGGCCCTTGAGTCACGTCATACCTTCCCCCGCTCTGCTCCGAACATGTGTCTAGCAGATCCTTCTGCTTTGGTGAGGGGAGGGAGTATGCGAATCACATTTACAGCATCTAGCCCTGGAATTCATAAAGGAAGGACTAATTCCATTAAGGAAATCCAGGGGCCTCCTAAGCCTCTTGCATTTTGTCTTTTTTTTATTATTTTTCCTTGCTGTCTGTTTTTTTAACAGCAGTTGTGTGCCCATACTCCATAATGACATGGCTGTTAAGTGTGAGCTATTGAGATTTGACACAGCATAGTCACATTAGTAAGGGGCCATGGAGCTTTAAATGTTGTTTGCATTTGCCTGCTTTGTAAGTCTGCTTTGTTGAGCTTCCTAGGTAACAGCAGATAGGCCAGAACCTGAACCTCCCCTGAACTGGAAGAGAACAGAAACCAAGATTCATGGCAGGTCCTTGTCTTTACAATTCAGTGCAATGGAACCTTGAGTCCCCTCCCGGTAAAGGGGGATGTTGGGCGTATGCTTGGATAGAGACCTTAAACAAGCAGGGTCTTGTTATCCTTTGGAAGTTATCAACAGGAGATACATAACCTGAAGGACAGTGGTACTGAGCCCTGAGGAGGGGCACAGTGGGCTGATAGAGGTCTCTGAGACATGAAGGGCCCTCAAGACTACGTCCTCTATAAAGCAAGCATGACATTTACTGGCCTGAAGGTGGAGACTGGTGCAGGAGCATGGGTGCTGTCAGCAGCTGTGCCACCACCAGCCATGCTACAGGGGAAACAGGTAAAACTCAGGACTAATAGTGGTGGGTTTATTCCTGCAAGGGGCTTACAAACTCAGCTGGACAGGTAAACAATAACCTGGAAAAATCATAATCTAAGAGAAGTGGGGAGCCATTCTGCAGCCAGGCCCTTCTCTTTGGAAGGCTGGGGGGTCAAGCCATTGAAAAAGGGTTTGAGGGCTGCTCGACATCTACAATGCTGGCATGGTTCCCTGTGCCCTGTAGCAGAGGCTAAAAAAGGAGGTGAATATATTCATTACCATAAACTGCACAGAGTAACCATCAGAATGGGTATGCTAAAAAAAGAGATGAAACCTTTGCTTATGAGGAGACCTAAAAGAATTGAATACATGTGTATGGAGGGATCATTTTCCACTACCTACAAGAGGAAAAATCTCTGGGGAAGTGGCTGATGCCAAATATTTTCTTATGCTTCATGTGTCAGCAGGGTCTGGCAGAAACCTTAGAAAACAGAGCATGCATTTTGTGCAAATTGAGAATCACAATTTCTGATGATTTGGATTGCTTCACCAAACTTGAGACATTTCTCCAAAAATACAGCAGATGTCTGATGATGTACCAAGTTTTCAGCATTTACACAGATCAGATGATGTTAGACCAGCAGAAAAAAAAAATAACAGAATAACACAGTAAAAGGCTTCAGAACTGTCCTGAAAAAAAAACCCAAACCCTAAGCTGGGCTAGAAAAAAATGTTAACGTCTCACAACAGCTATACAGTGCTGGGGAGACACATTGCCATAGCAAAGATCACAGAGGAGCTGGACTGGGTGCTGAAGTGGTGGGCAGAAGAACTCAGTGGAATGGGAGCTCTGTGCGCATATTACCTGGCTGCATGACCTGCCAGCCCCAGGGCACTGCTATAAAAAGACAGGCAGTAGACTTCAACTACAAAACTTAACAATTCCTGAGACTGAAGAAGGCTTTTAAAGAGAATGAAGAGAATGTGGCCCTGTAGTATCTTAACACTACACATGAGACAGAGTTGTCCCCAGAATCATCTTGCAGCTATACAGTCAAAACTGGAGTTCAGTAAATGTTGTGCCATGAATGCTGACAAAAGCTGAGTGTCAGTGCATTCAGTTAGAGGGGAAGGATTTGGCGTTTGTCCACGAATGCAGAAAGTTCCCTATGTTTTTGTTTGTTTGTTTGTTGTGGTTTTTTTTTTTTTTCTGTAATGAGAAGCCTGCATTAGAAAACTGACCATAACCCACTTACTGCAATAGCCAAAATGGCCTGGCAAAGCCCCCTCGCCTCATGAACACCAGGGTTTGGGATTTTTTGGTCAGTTATGAATTTACGATTTGAAGATTGGGAGGGATTTGATGGGTTCAAACTTAATCCCTAGAGCATTTGATGAAAAAGCAATGATGCAAAGTCCAGAGCGAGACTTTGTATGTGACGATTTGCTTAAAAATTTTGCTTATCATGGGATAAGACCCAGGGGAAAGTCTATGAGCCTATCACAGAATATTCTTGTTGCTGACTTCAGGGGAAGTATGGATAGTATATCCTGGCTAGGAAAAATGATATAACCTTTCTTGTTATTTCTACTTCCCTGAGGTAAGTTTACTTGAGGTAGTATAGCTGAACAGGTGACAGGGTATATCTAGCTTATCATTACTACACATCCAGTACCTGCTAAGGTAAAACAAGGTCTGATAGTGCAGCAGGAATAAGTGTAAGATGTTTTCAGTAAAACAAGATTTAGCTCTACCACTCTAATCAACAAGTTGTTAGGAAAAAATGCCAAAACAGATTGGTTGCTATTCAGAAAAAGTGTGAAATTGGGATGTGATCTGCTTTTACACCCGTTATTTCAAGGTGGAACCCACAAATGAAGTGAACTACTGACATTTGCTTGACAAAAAAATAAAATAGAATAATTTTAATTCTTGCAGTCTTTCAATTCCCTGCCATCTTCAAGGGTGTCATCAGAATTATGGGGGTCTTGAAGAAGACTAATGAAACAGAGTCAAGAAACAGAAACCTCAGAATAACATGACCTGCAACCCCAGCGAGCGTGGTTGTGATGTTCCAGAGACATAAGCAACACTGCCCCGTTCTCAGGATTCTTTGAGCACAGTTATGTGATGCTGGTTCTGATCATTTGCAATTGCATATTAGCACTACTTCCCTGAATTTTGTCTTGGAAAGCTCAGTGACTTTAGGACGTCTGGCATTAACAACTGCCCTTTCCAGTATGAGAATCTGAATGAGGTGCTGCATAGTTCTCATTTCATTATGAACAGCTGGATGAGAACAGATGCATAATAAAGCAAATCTTTCAAAAGCAGCCTAAGCACTGGATGCACAATGAAGACAACTGCATTTCAGCCCAAAGGTGGCTGCATTTGAGCCACAGAGAAGGAACCCGTTTACAAAGAAACCTCTCAAGCACTTTGGGATGAAAACACTATACAGAACCTGCTTAATTCACTCATGTGACAAACTCTCATTTCATATTGTTTTCCTGGTTTTGCTATGCCAGTCACACTGCAATTCGAAATGTCCTTGCTCTGTGCTGGAACAGCAGTTCAGTTCACCGCATTCGATAAAGCCAGCAGAATAAAAAAACTTGTGATGGAAATAGTTCTTGTGTGTGCAGCCAGCCCGTGCTCAGAGGCTGCTCATATTCCATTTCTCTCTGTCTCGTTAACAAATGGCTACCAGTAATCTCATGCCATTACTGTGGTTTTGAATTCTGGGTGTACTTTACTCATTAGTAGCATGTCCTAGGCTCTGTGTTCTGTTGCATGATGGTTGCCTTGCATTCAGGCTCCTGGCTGCCTTGGTTGTTTTGACCTTGTTCCGTTCCAAAGAATTCTTCTGCAATTCTTCCATCCTCTGCTGTTAAAAGAGAGCTCTTCCCTTGCAGTTTTTATATTAAATAACTAAATTGTACACGGTAGTTTCAAGAGCTAACCTCCCTTACGGCTTTTTGCAGTTACAGAGTGGAGGAAGATGGACATTTAGACAGCAAGTAACAACTTTGCAAACAAGTAACAACTTTGCAAATAAAAGTGAAGGGAATTGCCCGCCGAAGTTTTCCATATATAACTCTCCCTGTCCGTGTTCTCAGATCAGCTCTGTGACAGCTCCCCTTTCCCACTGTGTGCAGTACAGAACAACTCACATAAAGTATCAGCAGGCATGAAAAGCACACCCACACAAGTGTTAGGTGCCCAAGGTCACTCACTTTCCCACTCTGCAGCAATGATTCAGTTTGGTGATGTCATTGTGACTTTGAGGCAGGAGGACTGGGATATTCCTTGAGGAGCAAGGACTCAAGAGTGAGGGCAAGGTACATCATCAGACAGTGCTCTGCATCTAGGAGGGCTGTGAGAAGCTGGGGAGCCTCACTGGCTGCTGTAACCAAAACTGGAGTCTGAGCTTTGCTGGAGGTGTGGGCTTGTCACACGCTCTGTCCTTCATCTGTCCCTTTGAAAGCCATGCTTAGCCTACGCATTATAGCTGCTTGGAGAGACAGTGGTTCCCTTCAACACACTACCTCTCAGGTAGCTAGTGGAACTGAGATTACTGCAGTGGTTTGGAGAAGAAAGAAATTATATATCGCCAGGCTGGATAAAATCTTAAGGCTGATGCATGCAGAGCTCCTGCCAGATTAAGCATTTGCACCTGGAAATCCACAGGGCAGAAGACTGGCGCTGGAGCATTTGTGTTGCCATCAGCAGGGCAGCAGCTCGCCCGCACGTACTCAGACTCCCAGGAGGCCAGGGCTCCAGGCTCCTCAAGGAGGTCAGTTTTTTATATAGTAAAGCAAACAGTTTAGCTAATCAAGGATTTTTTTTTCCTTTTCTTTTCTGAGGCTCTTGGCACCCAGCCCTGTTACTTGCAATCTTTAATTTGTACTGTGGCTTCCTTTTCCCTGCTGCCTTCTCACTCACTCCAATTTTCCCACACACTTATTTCCTAACTCTACCTCTTACAGAGGTCTTCATTTATTTCAGACCCAAATTTATCTCAATCTTGCACAAAGCTGCTGTTACCTCACCATTTATTCCTGTAAGTGACTGTCATCAGAAATTCACGAGCTTAAAAAGTTTGTGAAAAAAAAAAAGTGCTATTTTTTGTGTTGTAGAAAATAGGTGGTGATAACTCACATACTTCCAGAGTCACTTTATTCATATGTGCTTGTGGAAATTGACTGTGGATTCACTTAGACCTTCTTTCTGGTTATATAGCTGCCTGGGCATCAAAATCAGGATTTTAACTGTGGGGTTTTTTTAAGGATCTGTGTATGTCTTTGGTAGGGGTGGGCTACAAGCTACACACACTACTCAGAAGCTGGCCATGCAAAAGCCTCTTATCATACAGCTTCCACTATCAAGGAGCAAACTCTGATGAAACAAAGTCACATTTTGCCAGATTCTCCTTCCCACTTCCATGCTGCTAAGAAAAAAATGGAAGAGAGAAAGGCATTTTTTTCTGGTGAGCACAACTACACAGTCTGTAGTACTTACTCTGTAATACGTGTAGAGAAACCAATGAAGGCAACATGCAAATAAACATCTCAACCAAAACCACAGCAAAATCCCAGTGAAAATATAAGGTACCTAGTCACCACTTGTCAACACTGCAGAGGTTGGCTTGCTCAAAGGCTGATGATAAGAACATGGGTGGGAAGTGACCCACCTGGTCACCAGGTTCTGCCTCATGAAATCACCTTTAAATGGTCTTTTCTGAAAAGCTGCATAGAACACGAAGTGTTCCTTCAGTCTGCACATGTTGTAGGAGCCACAAAACACCACCTCCCTGTAACAAATGCACAGCCTCCACTGCACATGTAGATCCATCTGATCTCATCTCATTTCAGGTAAATACTTCTTCCTCGTGGTTATTTCTAAGCCCGTTTCTACAAAACTCCTCTGCCTCTGAATGGAGCCCAAGTTGGCAGGGCAGCACTTTCCAAACCACAAAGCAAGCTGTGAACAGCTAACAAAGCCTGACACACATTCCACGTACTTTCATATGAGGAACTATTCCTCATAGCCACTTACATGCAGGTCCAGGAGGGTTTTAACTAATTGCAGTGAGAAGGGAGATAAAAGCATGGTGACACACTGAGCTAGCAGGCAGTGGGTGGCCTGTGTGCAGGCCTTCTGCAAGGTGGCAGATCACAGCCCATGTCCAGCACATAGGATGCAACAGGCCGCCACACAGAAATCCCTCAGATTGAACAGAAGTGGATTTAAAAGGTTGAACAGAACCTTAGGATACGGATCCTGCCAAGATGTGTGCTGCACATGCTCTGTGAGGCAGTCAGTCCACTACTTCCCATTAATTTCAGAATCCACCACTGAAGAAAACACAGCTCTTTATAGGGTGGGACATGTTTTAAAAGAACAGTTGGTGCAGATTCAACTGGTATAAAGCTGCATAGCTCTAGTAAATACCAGGGGGTGTTGCTGATTTACACCAGCTGAGAAGTTGGCTAATATTCTTTTGGAGTCACCACCTCTCCCATTCATAATTGCCAGCCGAAATGCTGGGAAAGGCAAGAAGAAATGAAAAATGGAGCACATTCATGTGAAAAAGCTTCAATGTGAAACAAATGTCTGCTCACTGCACAAAAGCTGAAATAATACAGCCGTTATTGGAACTGTGCTACAATAGAACAAGCTGGATGAGTCAACCAGCAGTGCATCTAATCTCCACTGGCTGCCTTTCTGGTCCCCAAGCTCCCCATCTATTTTTATCTCTTCTTTTTTAATATACTTTTTGGTTTACAAGCAATAAATCTACAGCTCTTTGGTCCCCTGTGTGCACTCTTGCCGGCAGGCTGCTCAGCATGTAGGATGTTACCCAGACCATTTTGGCTATCAGGCCACAGAACATGGAGGCTAGGATACAGATTCAAGAGACTGTGGCCCAGAGAGCACAGCAGAAGCTACTGAGAGCACGTGGCGCAACAAGTTTTCTGGACTGAAGGCAAGCAGGCACCACACAGGAATTGTTTGGTGCACTCCTCAGGTGGCCAGAGTGGAGTGAGGCATGAAAGTTAACAAGCTCTGGGGCCCCTAACATAAGAGGGATGCAGACCTGCTTGAGCGTGTCCAGAGGAGGGCCATGAAGATTATCAGAGGACTGGAGTACCTTTCGTATTTAGGCAGGCTGAGAGAGTTGGGCTTGTTCAGCCTGGAGAAGAGAAGGCTCAGAGGAGACCTTATAACAGTCTTCCAATACATAAATGGGGCCTATAGGAAACCTATAAAGGGACATTTTACAAGGACATGTAGTTACAGGACAAGGGGGAATGGCTTTAAGCTGACATAGGGGAGATTTAGAATAGACATTAGGAAAAAATTCTTTGCTGTGAGGGTGGTGAGGCGCTGGCACAGGTTGTCCAGAGAAGCTGTGGATGCCCCGTCCCTGGCAGTGCTCAAGGCCAGGTGGGACGGGGCTTGGAAAAACCTGGTCTAGTGCGAGATGTCCCGGTCAATGGCAGGGGGCTGGACTAGATAGTCTTTAAGATCCCTCCCAACCCAACCCATTCTATGATTCTATGAAATGGGACAAGGGATGCAGTTGCAAGACTCTGGGATAACCAAGGGAGCCCAATCATGCCACTGCCATTTGCTGGAATCCAGCAAAACATGCCTGACTGATAGATGTGCATCAGAGCAGGTGTCTGAGGAACTCTGGGATGGGCTTGCTTCCAAACGTGCAGTAACACACAGTTGTGAGCCAATGCTCTGTCCAAGATCCATGCTGCAGAGTAGGACACATGCAGAGAGTAATGTCTGATGAGCCTACTGGTCATGCAGTAACTAAATGCAAAACCACTAAAATGGCAATGGCAGTCAAGAACCTGCTGCTGTGCCTATACAGAAACGTCATTCCTTTTTTCCATGGTCAGGGAGATGTTTAGGTAAGCTAAATGGATCTGGTTCACCTTAGGACCTTATATGTTACCCATTACAGACTGCAACATTTGGAAGTTGAGGAAAAGACAACCTGGATATAAGAATCACTGGGCAGGTGATGGTAATGGCTTTCATGGTGCAAGGCTTCACCACTGTTTGTTGGCTGGGTGTGGTAGTGCTCTCTTGAGAAAAGTGTGGGTGAAATTTCAGACTCACAGTACTCCTGCTTCATTTTTCTCTGGTAACCAAATTAAGATCCTAGCAATAGCAATGGAGCCATTATTTTTCTAATTTCTCTCTGTTCTCTTTAATGGTTTCATCACAAACACACACAACTAGTCACCTCGCGCTCATACATGCTGGGAAACATCTGTTATTTGAATACTAACGCTTGAATGACTTGCTTGTGAGGTGGGCTGATGCCAACCTCATGAAGTTTAACCATGCCAAGTGCAAGATCCTACACCTGGGTCGGAGCAATCCCAGGCACAGCTACAGGCTGGGCAGAGAAGAGATTCAAAGCAGCCCTGCGGAGAAGGACTTGGGGGTGTTGGTTGATGAGAAAATGAACATGAGCTGGCTTCAGTGTGCGCTCGCAGCCCAGAAAGCCAACCGTATCCTGGGCTGCATCAAAAGGAGGGTGACCAGCAGGTCAAAGGAGGTGATCCTGCCCTTTTATTCTGCTCTCGTGAGACCTCACCTGAAGTATTGTGTGCAGTTCTGGTGTCCTCAACATAAAAAGGACATGGATCTGTTGGAACAAGTCCAGAGGAGGGCCACGAGAATGATCAGGGGACTGAAGCACCTCCCATATGAAGATCGGCTGAGAAAGTTGGGGCTGTTCAGCCTGGAGAAGAGAAGGCTGCATGGAGACCTCATAGCAGCCTTCTAGTATCTGAAGGGAGCCTGTAGGGATGCTGGGGATGGACTCTTCATTAGGGACTGTAGTGACAGGACAAGGGGTAATGGGTTAAAACTTAAACAGGGGAAGCTTAGATTGGATATAAGGAGGAAATTCTTTACTGTGAGGGTGGTGAGGCACTGAAATGGGTTGCCCAGGGAAGCTGCAAATGCTCCATCCCTGGCAGTGTTCAAGGCCAGGTTGGACGAGGCCTTGGGTGATATGGTTTAGAGCGAGGTGTCCCTGCCCATGGCAGGGGGGTTGGAACTTGATGATCTTAAGGTCCTTTCCAACCCTAACCTATGATTCTATGATTCTATTAAGATAGCCAGAGTGCTGTAATGGATAGAAACTACTGGGATATGATGCTAGCCCACAGCCTTCCCTTTCATTCCAAGAGTACGTGCTTCAGGGAGTAAAGAAGAAGAGTATATGAGTTTAATTTCAGACATTCACTTTTTAGGTGCCCCTGAGGGACGTACCCATTTCCTATATAAGGTTTGGTCTGTTTGCAATTAAGCTCTCTTCTTTGCATATTTCCGGGCAGATTAAAAATAGCAAAATCAGCTTATTCTTGGACTTCTGGAGATAAACAAAGCCGTTGCTTCCAGGGGTTTTAAAGCACTGATCAGGCTTACAGATCTTGAAGGCAGAATCTGCCCATGAATTTTTTATGCTGGATAAACAAGAATTTCCAAAGATAAGAGGAAAGGTAGGAGCACATTTCTAAAGACCTTCTAAAGCAACTAACTTTCACAGCCTTCATTTTTAAATAAAACTAAACATTGATAAGAAGTTGAATGCTCATTACACAGAAATCTCAAGACCACTTCAAACTTGTCCCACCCTTCTCACAACCTATGGATCAGTTCCAAAGCTGAGGCTTACTAAGGTCCCATCACAATTCTCCTCTTATTCTTCTGTTGGGATTATCATCATCAATCCATATAATCCAAAATGTAAAGCTGTTTTTTTGTGATGCAGCCATCCACTCTCAAGGACCTTAACAGAAACAACACATTTGTAATGGTACCTAAATTGCTATCAGATGGGAATGATTCCCATATACCTCTAACAGCCTGAGTTTGGGGATACGATAGAGATCTGCACCTGATCATTTCTTCCCTGCTGTTGAGGTTTCTACTAATTTGAAGAAATTACCTGGAGCAGGGGCCATTTTCCAAAGGAGTGCCTGATCACTATGTTGTTAATGTAAGTCTCCCGACAGTGTTTTTGCTGTTTTCATTTATCTTTAGCAGACTGCTTAGAAGTCAGTGGGCCCTGATGGACCCATGGACAATGGGATAAAAATAACTGATATAGTGGTTTTAATGTTATTCACACTCCCTTATGCTGAAAACAGAACAGTGATTTAACCAAATATAACAAAAATTATTAGTTAGTTTTCCCAAACTCCACAAAACCTTTAAAACTACATTCAGCTCAGCAGTGAAAAGAATTCCCACTAGCTCCCTAGGGATGATGTTATTTTCTTCTGGATCTCAATTTTACTAGTAGGCTAGATTAAGGACTCAGATTAGCATTGAAGTCTCAATCTTGAAAATTCAACCATGGCATACATGCACCTCATAATTTCTAATTCTGGTTGTGTTTGAGATTCCTTATCCAAAAATCCAATAATCTGATTACTTAACTAGACAGAATCTTCATGTACTTTTAGTGCTTTTTACTTTGAGAACAGACATGGGTAAAAACCATGGGGTTTTTGTAGTCCTAATTTGCAGCCAGATTATCTCCCTGAACTATGCTATTCCAGTATCAGATACACAGTACTGTTTGTGTTGAGGAAACACAGGAGCATGGCTGGGCAATAGCAGCCCTGATTTAGGTTGGCTGGAATGGATGTGGATCTGTGTTCTACCTACAACTATCTGCGGGCAATGTTTGTTAAAAGCCATATGGGGACGACTTACAAAAAGCTGTTTTGAGCATCAGTTCTTTAAAGACTCAATTTCCAAAGCGGAAGTTCCAGCCCAGTAATCAGTACAAATCATTGTGCAATTCGTATTTATAGTTATTTTTAGAGCCTCAGGTAAGGGGTTGACTGATGAAAGATTTGACAGTCTGGCAGAGTAAATTACATGGAGATTCTGGCAGACTTTTAGGACTAGAAACAAGGTCTAGGCTCCAGAAGATTCAGGAGAGAGTGCGGACTGGGTACAAGCTTGACAGAACACAAGAACTGGAATAAAAACTGCAAGTTGGGACCAGTGTGCATTAACAGTAGAGCTGAAGAACCCCAGACTTCCAGAAGAGTGAGGCTACCTAGGTCTGAGATGAACTGGTGGAATTACACTGTGAATGCTGCATAGAGTCTGTCCACAAGATGCCTGGCTCTTACGTGCCTGATGGCCCTCTTTTTCAGAGTGCTGCATTGCCCCAACAAAAATGTAGAATGCTGATGATTCAGGAGGGAGAGAAGATTACATCACCACAATATCCATGCAAGCAAGTGGACACATTTACTGTTGAGTATTACATCCCTTGGAAAATCTACAGTGACAACAGTAGAGGGGAGGAAAAATATACAGTTAAGCAAGATACAAATGCAGGGATGCACACCACCAGGCTGCATTTTGTCCCTCTGCTGTGCAGAACACTATAATGGCATGAGAAAGACTGGTGGCCCATTCCATATCGCCTATGATGGCAGGAGTATTCTTCCCCACTATGCTTGATTCCTAGGGCTGTACAAGGAGCAGCACTCAATGCCATAAACCTTACAGATGCAAGCAGCTTTGAAGAAGTCAACAGGACTGTTCAGCAGGGCTCTTTGTAAGAGCTCAAAACCAGCCCCTTATTTGGTAGAGAAGCATAGTAACAAGTCCTACTGCTGCAGCAATATACACACTACTGCTGAGGACCTGATAAAGGATACATTGTGCGATAAGAGTTGTAAACAGATCTTGAAAAATAAGAATGAGGACTTTTGTAAACGCAGGACAAAAAAGTGTGAAGTTGGTTTGTTGGGTTTTTTTTTAATATTCTTTGAACTGAAAGTGCTCTTGGCTCTCTTTGGCTCTCAGCAATGTGACAGACATGGGAATCTTTCTGGCACCGTGGTCTCTGAAGAGTCAGCTCTTTGAGCTCCAAAATGTGTTCCTGCACATTCACAGGGCATTTGCTGAAAAAAAAATAAAATAAACCCAAAGAGCAGAATAACCTCCTGTCCATCACGCAAGATTTCCCAACTACAGTACCAGGCACGGAGAACTCTGCCTGCCTGGCCCACAGCCACACCACGGGCGGCAAACTTTCCAGCTCTCAAAAACTAATCAGGTTCAGGTCAGGTATGTGACTGAGAGAACTCCAGCGAGGGGGGAGGGTGAAGCAGGAAGTGGTACTGGGGATTCAACCAGGGATCATCTTTAAAACATTTCTTAAGTTGTTTCTTCAGAAATAAGTTCTGGATGTCAAGGGAAGTGAACTTATTTCTAAGAGTACAGAAAGGGAAAACTTTCTGGTAGAAAAATAAAAGTGGGAAAGACTCATTATTTACAAAGTAGAAAAGAAACGTATTCATTCATCATAGATTTTATGATGACAGTTTATAGAGTCTTAACAGTGGAGTGGGACAGGTGACAAGAAGACAAAACCACTCCCAGTTGCTATTATCACCCCTCAAGACAATCTTTCTTTCTAGTAAGAAACTACAGCTGCGAGAGAAATAATTTTGAAGTTTCAGCACAGCTTCGTGCACACAAAAAGACAGCACCAGGGTGACTTCAATCAATGTCTGCACATGCAATCACAGGAATGAAAAAGACTCATTCATTCCTGGGTTTTGTATTAGATACTGCAAACAGTTAATAGTATACCCCTAGGGCTACACAGTGGTGGTTTGTGCCACTCTGTACTGCGAGGAGCAACTGGAGTTTAACACCGTTCCCCCAAACTCATAAAATTACAAGCTAAGGTTCACAGCAGCCACAAGCAGTATGAGTTCTGTCCCATCCCAACACTGCTTCCGGCTCCTCAGAAAGGCTGCTGCCAAATTAAAGTAACATAATGCCAAAGTACTCTCATAGTCTCCATTTCTTGAAATCTTCAAATCACAGCTTTATGGGAATTCCTTTATAGCCAAGAATAAGCTTTATGCTTAAGGCAGTGTGACCAGCGAAGAGCCTGTGGTCAGTGTTATACAGATCATCCTTGGTTCTGTAGAGGGTCTTTTAAATAATGTGACTCTACAGTCAGTAGATGCAAAAAAATGGCCAAGTGAGCAAGCTACTATCTGGAAAGCGCTCATCAGCTTTCAGATCCAGCTTTCAGTTGCCTGTTCCACAGCTCTGTTTGCTATGTGACATGTAGCTGTAACGTAGAAACAACAACAGAAGCAACATGGCAGAGCTGTAATGGTGAGAGACAGATGTGAACTTCAGAGGATCAGGTATGTCTCATTACACCTGTGGGTCTTTCAGATATGTCAGTATAAGAGTGTAGGATAGTAGAATCAGAGAATAGTTAGGGTTGGAAAGGACCTTAAGATCATCTAGTTCCAATCCCCCTGCCATGGGCAGGGACACCTCCCTCTAAACCACATCACCCAAGGCTCTGTCCAACCTGGCCTTGAACCCCGCCAGGGATGGAGCATTCACAGCTTCCCTGGACAACCTATTCCAGTGCCTCACCACCCTTACAGTAAAGAACTTCATCCTTATATACAATCTAAACTTCCCCTGTTTAAGTTTTAACCCATTGGCCCTTGTCCTATCAGTACAGTCCCTAGTGAAGAGTCCCTCTCCAGCATCCTTATAGGCCCCCTTCAGATACTGGAAGGCTGCTATGAGGTCTCCACGCAGCCTTCTCTTCTCCAGGCTGAACAGCCCCAACTTTCTCAACCTATCTTCATATGGGAGGTGCTCCAGTCCCCTGATCATCCTCGTGGCCCTCCTCTGGACTTGTTCCAACAGTTCCATGTCCTATTTATGTTGAGGACACCAGAACTGTACACAATACTTCAAGTGAGGTCTCATGAGAGCACTATTAAGGTTTGCATTGAACTTCAGGAAAAAGCTTTTCATTGTGAGAGTAGTACAGTACTGGAATGGGTTACCTAGAGAGGTTGTGCAATCTCCATCCTTGGATGTTTTCACGACTTGGCTAGACAAAGTCACAGCTGACCTGTTAAGTGCTGGCAACAGCTCTACTTTGAGCAGGATGTTGGAGTAGATACCTTCAGAGGTCCCTTCTGGACAGTATTTCTATGTTGCTGTGTGTCTCTCAGATCCCAGAGTTGAGCTGACAAGCCATGTTTTGGAAGGGCTCTGTAGGGTGAGAGGCTATTGCTGGTAACACCTACCAAGCCTGGAATGGTTGGAATGGTTTATGCTTAGCAAACTAAGCATGTGAGTGAGAACTCCTGCATGTAGGTAACACCTTCTTTTGAATGGCAGAGATACTGCAAAATACTGCTTATAAGGTAGCAGTATTTATAGAATGCTGATGCTGCTCTATCACCTCATGCAACCGTGGCTTCAACAAAGAAAAGGTGTTAGCCTCCTGCAGAGCTCTTGTGACACTCTTTTGTAGCAGTGGTGAGAGCAATAGCATTAGTGTGTGTTACCAGCATGCTGAGTACTCATGGATGAGTTACAGGCTGGCATATAACTTAACATTTTGTTTCCTGGTTTTAAGACAATTATATCTAGGTGCTTCCTACACTAAAAAGCCCAGAAGGATTGCATTCTTACCACCATAGAGAAGAACAGATTTCAGACTGGACTGGCTGCAGGAACAGGGACATGCTGGAGTCATGCAAAAGCTGACAGTTCAGCGGGGACAATTCTATTGAGGCTGACAGACACAGAAGAAGTATGCACAGAAAAGACAAAATCCTTTCCACAGAAACACCCTTTGCACAGTTCTGCCACACTTCATTCATCCATAGCTCTTTGTTGGTTCATTCCTGGCACATCTGTTTCTCACCCCCATTTCGAGTCAGCCTGCACACTGCTGTAACACACTCATGTCTACCATTCTCTTAATCACTCTCATAACCCCAGTATGTTCCCCTCTTTCAGCACAGGGATGTCAAGCAGAGATGATGGGACCCGAGACATGCATGTTAGTGCACTAGTTAGACATAGGGAGAGCCAGGAGAGTGCTGGCCCCAGATGAGAACTTCTCCATTAGCAAATGCAAGATAAGATGTGAACGTGTATCTTCTCTAGAAACTGTCAGGAATATGGCACAGTGAACAAATGGAGCTCAAAGTAATGACCACAGTTTATCACTTGGAGCTACCAATGTGCTATAGAAAATCTTTTCCTTCAACAGAGCCCTAACCACAGCATACAGCAGTGTGTCCTGTACTGATACAGACTTCCAAATGACTACAAATAACATTTCAGAGATTATTTACTCTTGTTTATTAGCTTGAATAAATAGTGAGCAGCTGAGAATGCTTTGGTGAGAGTCTGAATCTTAACATGATACCTTACATGGCACAGAAAAATATGTAAAGAATGAGATAATTTTGGAAAATGCTGTGCTGTTCTTAATGGAAGCTGTTTCTCAGGAACTTTTCGCTGACAAAAACCCAGTACCAGGACTACCAACTCTTCCTGGGACCCCCATGAAACAAGAACCAACTTCACCATGCCCCAAGCTGTCAAGGATTTTTAAGAGTATTTAAGGTAGTAGATCTTGTGCTCAGCTATACACAAACTTAAGTTTGATAGCCATAAATACATTAATCTTCACATTCTCCACAGAGAATCCTACATTTATTAGAGCCATAAACAATGAAAGTATGATGGCAGTTAAATCGTAACCACACAAACCAGCAGGACCTATGCTCAAAAGGATTCTTCATGTCAACTCAACAGAGTAAAAGCTTCTCACACCCTACAAATACAAATAAAGATCTTTATCTACTTCCTAATAATGACATTAGGATAAACTCTGTCCAGTTTTGCGTATATGTGTGTAAGAAACCTTCTCTTGATAGAGATCCTATGCAAGGGACTAGCTTCAGCTACTGTCTTATGCACTCTTGTTTTGCGTCATCCAAAATTGTCCATTCCATATTAATGCCTGGCTGCCAAATCACATTAATTCCATAGTTGTATCCCTGTCATAAGTCATTAGTTCCACACTCTTGCCACACATAATACATACATTCCACATTCTTTTCCTTAATATGCAAATCTTTCCAACCATGGTCCCCTTTGTTTCGGTGCCTCTCAACCCACCAGCATATGCAGGAGGGCTCACAAACTGATCCTCTGGGATATACTCAAATATGACCAATACGTTCTTTGTGATTTGTATGTGATGATAGGCGAGATTTTGAGGTTCCCTCCCAAGCCTCAGATTGTTTAAGTAGTGCTCAGATTCCCGATCTCTTTCATCTGCACCAGGTGGTTTACAGTGATCATTATGAATTTCCTTTCAAGGCTCCTAAATAAGAATCGACTTTGTTTACAGTAAAAACTTTTCCACTGGCCCAAAG